CAACAACCTATAATCGAGATTTTCCATAAAACCAAACTTCTCTTTAAGAAATGTCTCAACGACCCCTTCGTTGCCCAAAGTGCGACTGTGGAATCAAAAGCATGATGTACAATGAATGGGAAGAAGCTGGACGCCGCTACTGGGCGTGTATGAACAAGTTTTATAGGCAACCCGACGTACCTATATGCAATTTTAAGGTATGGGTTGATGAACCATGTGACCAGGAATACTACAAAGACCAGGTGTATCATCTTCAAGATGTGTGTAATGGGCAGTGGGACAGAGAGCGCCAATCGAAGCAAGAAATTGAAGAGTTGAAGGCGAAGATCAAGGAGGTGGAAGAAGAGAAAAAGAAATTAGAAAGAAAGCTCGAGAGCATTAAGCAGAGAATACTAGGCGGTCGTAACTAAGCAATGACATTTACGTGTTGATTGTTGTAGTGTATCTTCATGTTTCCTTTGTCAAGTGCTTTCATTAGTTGTACTATTTGTTTTTGTGTTAGGTTTGTAAGGTTTGTGTTTGAGTTGTACTGTTTAAGTAAAATTGTTGTTCAAACGCAATTAAAATAAAATAGTTGTTACTATTATTTACATAAAGCACTATTTACACAAAGTTAATACATAAGTAAATCAGTGAGTGTCGCAGCCTGTGTGCTTCAGTGCTGCTGCTGGCCTAAGTCGCATCCCCTGTCGCCCGGGCACACTATCTGGATCATCATCATCAAGCCGCCTCCTTATGTGAGGATGTGCAGCAGCATCAACCCTACAACTGGCAGGATCGGAAGAATAGGCCGTCGGGCCGTCAGCAACCTACAAAACAAGAAGTAATCTTAGCATGTGAAAATGTATTATTTTATGAAAAGTATTATTATCTTAACCTACAGAATGTACTATTATTTTAAGTAAGAAAATATTTTCTCACCATGGTCTCGTCGACCTCCGGGTATATGTATCCATGGTGTGCTCATCACCGCATGTAGTGTCCTCAAAGATGGGCTGGGACGAAGACTGCATAAGAAAGTAACAATTAATTAATGGCAGCTATTTAAGGAAAAGAAAACAAATTGAAATATTAAAGTAATACAAACATACCGCCGCCTGTGGTAGATCCGCATGAACTGCCGGGGACGATGGATAACTCAACATGAGTCCTTTATCTAGAGAGGCGCTACAGATATCATTCTCCAAAAAATCGACAACGTTCTAAAACACAAATTGACGACCGAACCGATGCAACCTATATGGCTAGATGATGAATGAGTTATCATACCTTAGAGGGAGGTTATTAAAACATAAGCTCGTGAAGTAATTTAATCTCTTGAGGGGCATCGTTATCCACATAATAATAAGGACGATAATTGGTTAACATTGTTGATGTCCAAACTATAACCTCCCCATTGTGGATGTATTTTCTTGCACCCTTCTTGTCAAAATTCCTCGCAGCTCCTCTCCTGAGTATGCTGCCATGAAAGGGACAGACGGACCCTTCGCAAGTGGATAATGGGTTTTGAGGTAATGTGCAAGCCAACCGTAAACATAATGGATGGGAAAACAAATTTTGACCTGATCAAGCTGGGAAGAATTTGCTTGCCATCTTAAAAGTCTCGGGACGAAAGAAGTTCTCTGCCTTATAGGGAAACACAAAAGCACATAGCCAAATTGATAAGGAGGCTGCTATATATGTTTCATCTTTCTCGTCAGACCTCACCCTAAGCTTGGAGAATATAACTTCTTGATCACTCGACCACCTAGTGTCACGACCCCAATCCCGGTCATGATGGCGCCCAACACTAATGCTAGGAAAGCCCGACCAATTAAATACTCTCAACCCAAATACGCAATCCGTTAATAAATAATGCTTAAAATAGCAAACATTTCCCAATAGATCTGGAGTCACGAGTCTAGAGCCTCTAGATGTAACAGAGTAATATATCCATAGTAATAAAGAAGTCTAGGATATGGAAAGATAAATGAAATAAAGGGGAGGAGTCGGGTCCTGCGGACGTCAGGCAGCTACCTCAACAACTCCTGAAAATAAACTTCACGAAAACAGCAAACAACTCTACTAAGTCTCCGGAGCACCTGAATCTGCACACATGGTGCAGGGAGTAAAGTGAGTACTTCCAACTCAGTGAGTAATAAACATATATAATGACTGAAAGTAAGAAATCCCGAAATATTACAATATAAAGCTATAATCAACGATTTAGCACGTTAAATGATGAAACAACAACAGACAATGACAATTAAGACCAACAGATATAAAATTCATGAATGTAATGCAATGCACATGGCCGCTGCAGCGTGCAGCCCGATCCATTTGTGTACCCGCGCTCACTGTGGGGGTTCAGACTCCGGAGGGGCTCCTACAGCCCAAGCGCAATATCATAGTAGCATTCGCTGCGGCGTGCAACCCGATCCACACTCAGTCCAGATATATGCATGAAAGCCACTCAGGCACAGTCAAGTTTATCAATTTTCAGTTCTAATTATTAGGGATTATAGAGCTAAGTGTTTAAACCTTTATTTATTTACTAAACATTTCGAGGCAGTGTCTAACTCAGGACTGATATCATGAAATATGCTAAGCATCATGGAAGCAGTGATAAGGATCCCTGAAGGATGCACATGATAGGCACAAAGCCCCAAACAATTCATAAATTCCAAGTAGGATGATTACCAAACAATTTCTAGTCAAGAACACAGTACGAACATCAATCGGAACGGACTAGGTCACAATCCCCAGTCACAGTCGACCCCGCACTCGTCATAGAGTACGTGTCTCCCCTCAATATAGCGTCACAATGTGATATACCGGGGTTTCAAAACCCTCAGGTCATCATCTACATCTATTACTC